TTTGATTTCGTCTTTTCTTCGAGAGGAATTGCCTCCCCCCCCCCCCCCACATTTAGTTAGCTAGAGAACAAAAGATGATATTATGACACTAATAATCCCATTCTCAAGCTAAGGGGGCAATGCTAGGGGAATCTCACTTGTGACACCACTTTTTTTCACCAAAGGCAACCCCAAACACTCGCAGACACTTTTGCATAGACACTTATTGTCATAAGTGGGGTTCCTCAAGTTTTTTCCGTTCTCACGCAATATAATTACATTATATTAACAATAATAATAATTGAAAGAAACGACAATAATAACTATTGTATATGACATTGTATATTGTCATTTCATAATGTTTTTATATTATATGTTGATATTATTGGGATTATAAATCATATTTCGTGGGTAAAACCATGAAGGTTCCATTTTGGTTTTTTTCCAATGTTTTATTCATATTTTTGTATTTTTCTCTCCCAATCATTATTTCTGAAAGGTCTCTTTCAAAATATTTAAAATTATCACAAAAATATTTTTGTTTTTATTCAAATATCAGCAATGTTTCAATAAAATATGTGGGGGAGAATGATTCTTTGTGATATTTATATTCTCCTAGAATAATTGTCTAGATACATATAAATTTCCCACAACCAAATGCACTCTTAACTTCCAATATTTTCTAACTTTTTCAATTACTTTCCAACTTCGTTTAGTATCTTCCAACACTTTCTAGTTTCTCACAGCTCAATTCTTTTAACATTTTCCAACTTTTTTCAAATTTCTCTCTACCCTTTTTAGTTTTATCTAACATCGATCATTTAATTTCTTTCAATAGTGATCTAAAAATTATTTGCGTGCATTTTTATAATAATAGTAATAATAATATTATTATTATTACTTTTATCAGAACGGTTCTAGAGCCACTTGCTCCAGGGTTGGAGGGTTTACTGGGATGTCGAGGTTGGAACCATCAATTTTGTGAACGGAGCACCGTATGTATAGTACTCCAATTGAAGCTAGTGTCGTCCAGAGCCACTCAAAGTGAGTGGATGTAGAATCCCTCCATATTATTATTATTATTATTATTATTATTATTATTATTATTATTATTATTATTATTATTATTATTATTATTATTATTACTATTACTATTATTATTACTACTACTACTATTACTATTACTATTAGTATTAAAAATGTACAAAATTAGGAATTTTTACATGTAAATGCATATACAACGAATAAACAAAAAAATTCATCCACATTTATAATATAAACCTCTAAAATAGGCACTAGGATGACACTTTATTATCCATATTTATGTTTTTATAATTTTGTTTCAGTTAGTTTTTATTTTTAATAATTTAATTTAATTATTTTTCTAGTCTTATTTAGTGAAGTGAAAAAATATTATATTAGTAAATAAAGTTGTTTTTCTAGTTTTTAGATTATAATATCCACTCTCTTTTCAAAACCTAGTTGTAAATCTCTATGATTTCCAAAAGTTTCATGTATGCCTCCTCTGTTAGGTTAGTGGAACTCAGGCGTTTGCATTAATTAGTACTCATTTACTCATTTTCTAAACAATAGGGGCAAAGAACGTGCTTTATTTTTATTCATTTTTTTCTTTTGTTTTTCCTCCTTTTTCTTCTCCTTGTTTCATTTCAAGAAGTTTGTTTAAATTTTGTTTTTATAATTATGCCTAAATATTTTTTAAAATTTAAAATAAGTTCATGTTTGAAATAAAGAAAATAAAAATAAATTATATATATTATATCTGTCTCAAATTATTATTTTTTATTTTCTAAAATAAAAAAGAAGACTTTTTGGGATGTTCAAGAATAGTGAGGAATATAATAATAAAATAAAATAATAACAAAAGGAAATGAAAAAAGAAAAAGATTCAAAAAAAATTCTAATAGAGAAGATAAAAGCGTAGTCATGGGGAGGGGTGATAATTTTTTGCAATGTACAGAAAAGTCTTTATTGTTTGTGACGTCTCAAAAAAATTATTCTTTTTCATTTTAAATATAATACGAGGGCATTTACAATACATTGAAATTGTTAGGCGTCGGTCCAAAAAAGTATTTATTTTTATCATTTTGAAAGTACTTTATCCAAAAATTTAAATTTTTGGACGTTCCAAAGAAAACTTTATCAGTCAACTTTATAGATACATTTCTATTTTTCAATAAGAGAATGTTTGTATCCTTTCCTTTTTTCATTTCATTTTTCTATTTTTCTTTTGTTTTCTTTCTTTATCCATTTTTTCTTTTTATTTTTTTAACGTTTAAAAAATAATTTTTTTACTTTTGAAAACTTAAAAATGAAAACGTTTAACTTTAGATAGATAAAGTATATGTTGCATTTTTTATTTCTGTTTTTTCATTTTAAATACAAATTAAACTAGTTTGAATTTTTAAACATTATAAAGAAGAATTTAAAAAAGAAGTTTAAGAATGATAATAAGCACTAACGTCGAGCATGTGGATTGGAAAATAAACATCAATGTCTCCCTTTTTACGAAAAAGTGAACGGAAAATAATACAAATCGAGGTGGTGTGTGTGCAAGCTTTTGAAATGACAAACATTTTTTAAATAAATTTTTAAAACAAATGATATATTCATACTTATTTTTCAAACCACGTGGAGCAATAAAACTATTTTAAAATATTCTATTCAAAGTTATATGTCTTATTCAGTATTTTAAACTATAAAGATATGAATATCAAGATTATATTTTTTTTAATTCTCAATTTTTATTATAATATTTTTTTCTCTATGAAAAATTATGTTCCAATAAAGGAAAATTAAGAGCCAAAAAGTCATACTAATAAAGACGATGAAAATATATTTTTTTAAAATTTGTATTACCTTTTTGTAAATATTTTCATTTTATCCTTTATAAACACTCCTAATTTCATAAATAAGTATTAAAGACTATCAATATCGTGATATGAATATATGTAATATCTCATAACAAAATTTAAATTTTGATAGATTTTTTTAATATTTCCTGTAATATTTTAAGTTTAAAGAAATTATAATTATTAAAACGTTATGAAATACATTAACCATAAAGTTTTTCTCATTAGAATTTATCAAATATATTATTAAGACTCATAAAGACCTAATTTCTTTAATCAACTTTTCGTCTTTAATTAGGTGATACTCCATAAGATAGCTATATTTTAGCTCAATGAATTTCCAGACAAAAGAACATATTAATAATTTTTAAAATATATTTTACTCAAAAGGCTTTTAATATCATTGTCGTTTTTATGAAAAAGAAGACCGAGTTAATCATGACTAGTTTCCTCTTTATGAATAATTCATTTAATTTTTGTTAAAAAATTATATTTTTAATTTGGTTTACATATTTTTCAATAAGTTCAAAAAATCATGTTTTTTATACAAAATACATTGTTTTAAACTCATCAAATTTTAAAGATTATCATAAAAAAATTTCTATAAATGATACTCCGGTAAATGAGAATTTAAAATATGTCATGTAAGATGACACATGTCAACATCGCAGATACATGAGTAAGAATATACGGAGTACTTCGTAGTAAAGAATTTCTTATCAAATCACTCCCTAATCAACATGCAAAGAAGTGCTAGCACAGTGCACAGTAAAAAAAACATTATGTTAGTCGTAATTCTAATTTGGAGTGCGGTCACTTTATTAAGTTATTTCATTGATGAGATGTAAACATTTAATTAATTCTATTATTAGGGTTTTAATTAATTCTATTATTACTATAATAATAAAAATAATTGAAAAAAAAAACAATTTGGTTTAACTTATAAGACCAAACGAATAGGATCAGGTAGGCGTAAAGGTTTTGGGGTAAATATTGTGAATTGAAAATAAACATTAAAAACATGACAAATTTAGTCGTAAGATTCATGCTCATTTTATAGACCTTAATGTATTAATATCATAAAAGAATTGAGTCTTTTACAAATAAAAGAAGATTCACTTACGAGTCCATGTAAGTCATGAGAAGGTCCAAGATTTTATACGTAGACCTAGCTACGGAAGAACAGCTCTGCAAACATACCTCTCCCGTCATTTTTTTCCTTCCCATTTATTATTATAGTATCTCAACAACTTACGTTTATTTGCATGTTTTCGTTAATCATAGAATAAAATATTGAAAACTGATATCGTCTAACCAGGTTTTGATTCCTGTACCAAAAATTGAAAACCAGATCCTTTATCTAGCAGTTCCAGGCGGTTTCGGTACCCTAGCGATTCCAGTTCAGATCACAGTTCTGATTCCGGAATTACCGGTTCATGTTCCTCTCATACTAACTTTTGTAGGCTAAATTGACACGGAGAAACTCCCTAATCCTTGTTGTACTTCTCTAAAATTGATTCCATGGATAAATTTGAATTTGCACACACATAACACAATCTTGATTTTTATTATTTACTTATTTATAGTAGTACAATTTATTTCATATTTATTTATTTATTTATTTATACAACAGATAGATTTATTCAGCAAAAAAGCACATAAAGAGAGTAATGGCAGGAAGTGAAGACTGTGTGATATAATATGGAGGGAGCATATCACTTGTCCATCCAAATGACACACCGCAAGCTTTTCCCTTGCACTAGCAGCTCAAAAGCCGTGTTGATGTCTTCAAATCCCAATTCGTGAGTCACGAATTCGTCCAGATGTAACTCCTGCTTATATAAAAAAAAAAGATAAAAATGTGATCGATATTCGGGTTGAGA